AGTGTAAATTACTCCCTTCAGATCTCCTTTCCCAACTTTGTCTGCCCAAGAGGTTGCTTTCAGAGGGAAGTATGTCGGCAGGCACAGCTATGTAATTATATCCTTGTCCTCGAGAGACGGGCTTCAACTTTTTCTAAGCGAGCTTAGAAAAATTCCAGTCTGGATGCCGATGTTCTGGCTGACAAAAGAAAAGCCCCTTTCCCAGGCCATTGCCTGAAACACCGCCAGCCTCTGTAGGTAATACTAGGTCCCAGGCTTACCCCTGGCATCTGGCGGTGCCCCTGTCAGCGAGCACCCACGTGCCAGGGGGGCAGCTTGCCGCTTCAGCGTGCGATGGCACGGGGGCTCTCGTCAGGAGCTGGTAGATGTGGGCAGCCCAGAGACACTGAGGTGAGCTTCTATTTTTTGTGTTGGCCTCGTTTTCTGTAAGCTGAGTAACTGCAGACACTTCTAATTTGATCCGATCACATTTAAAGATAGAGAAAACGGGCTTTTTGTTAACTTCTAGACTGGAACTTACTATTTGCTAGATGTTACAATTTTCACCTGAGTTTTGGAGACGGGAATCTTTTTAAAAGGAAGCCAAGTCAGTCAATCCCCCTGAGGCCCTTACCTTGCAGAAACTCTTCAGTAGTGATGGTGAGTTTGAGCTCCTCTGCCATATCCCAGTCCTCAAGGCCGTTTCTTAAATGCAGGCTTTCCCAAAATGACTTGTTTTGAAAACTCAAGTACATTTTCCTTGTATGGCAAAGTAATCTCCGGGTACTGAGCGCAGCGGGGTCTGCGAAGGTGGCACAAAGAATACCACGAGCTTGAAGTGCTCTGTGTGCCGAGAGAGTCCATTTCATTTGTTTTTTTTAAAAAGGACATCACACAGGTGGGTGAAAGGCTGGTCTCTGTTTCACACTTCTAAATACCTATTAAAGCCCCTTCCAGTGAGTAAATGGTCCGTATTTGTGGAGTGAGCGAGCTGATTGAGAATAAGACAGGTGGCACCACCGCAGGCTCTGTTTTCTGCCCATTTACTTTGCTAGAACCTCAATAAATGAGCCATTCCTGTGTTCATTAGGCTAACATTTTCTTTTTTTTTTGCTTCTGATAAAATCACAGCGTTACCTACGCTCTGCAGTGGACTTCCCCGATCTGAGAACCCGAAAGTCTCTGGAAGCAAGACGGATCTCTGAGGGATGCACAGAGTGCATGGGATGCGTTTGCAGGTACCGGGGAGCTCCCTGACCTTGTTTGAGTGGGTGAGGAAGTGGTGGTAGTTTTAAACCCTGGAAGTGTAGCGGGTTTTAAGACTGGAAACTGCTTTAGATCAGCCCAGGCAAAACACTGAGGGGGTATCACAATCGGGGAAAAGGAACCAGGTTAAGCAAATACTGGGCTTGCTTTCACAGCGTGCCTCTTAGAAACTTTTTGTGCAGCTTGAAGACGCAATCTAAATTCTGCGCCTTCCTGAATTGCTTCTTTTCTTTGACCATATCTTTCACACACGGCCCCTGCCTAATCTGTCCCAGGTATTACGAAGAAAGCGATGTGGTTTGTGCTATTAAAGGGTGGTTGTAATACATCCTCATCCTATTCGCCCACTCACCATCACACTTCTGCTCGGGAGGCAGGGGAGGTAGGCAGCATGGGTGGAAACGGAGTAGCTACAAATCAAAATCCAAGCCTTGGCTTAGTACCAAAGCAGGCAATTAGATTTCACTACACATGTTGACCATTTTGTAGGAGGACACAGGTTATGCTCGTAGCGGAGGAGTATGTCAGGGACTTGCTGCCAGTCTGTAGCAGGGAGATGGACAGAAAGAGGCTGAGCTTGGCAATTGCTGGACAAGATTGCGCCATAACATTAGCATCATGATGTTGGGAGAATCTCGGCCTAAAAGTGAATTCCATGACCCTTGCACCAAAGGGTTGGCACCAAAGGCTTGGCTTCGAGTTGTTTAGGTTTCTTCTGCGTGATGAAAGAAAAGGGTAAGATGCTCTTCCCAGCCGCAGGCTTGTTCTGCAGTGGTTCGGGCCAAACGTTCCTGCACTGTTTCCTGTCACTATTCTCACCCTTTGCGTATTTGCGTCTTTTGAGATGGGCTGTTGAAAAATAAGTCAAACGCCAAGCCAAGCTTTTCTTGAAAAGGTAACTTTCAAAAGGCAGAGAAGGATCTGGCTTGCTCAGTTTTGCCTCTTCAATAAAAACAGGTATGATAGTTTGTACTGTATTAAGTTTTGCTTGGTTCTTGTTAGGCATTTCACAGATATCAAGTCAGTATGGCTTTGCTTTTGCTGCATGCAAAAGACTATAGTCGCATAGCCTTTTCCATCCTTGTGTGACAAAGTTCGGTCATTAGCTGAGACAGTGTGCTCCCCGTCAGATTCCTCAGGTGTGAGCAGCACCTGCTTGGTTGGCTGCTTTCCTCAAAAAAATCTGAGCGCGCACCCCAATCAAAATCCTTTCCCCTTCCTGAAACTGGAGCCTGGTATTTGACTTGAGATGTGTTGCAAACAATCCAGCTACTATAGTTTAATAATTTACCACGTATCACTCGACCTGTCGCACCACAAAGTTGCTTTCCTCTTTCTATCTGGAGTGGAACTCTCACACAGTGGTGTGTGCATCAGCTGAGGCATAGTAATTCATTAAGCCTGTGATTATCTACATGCACCCTCAATTGATGCCTCGCCTACCCACATAACCTTTGGTACTTCAACAATAAACTCGCACAAGAGTGCTAGGCTGGATGCAGTTATGTTAATAATCTTAGAGCCGCGTAAGTATTCTTGGGGGGTAAAAGAAGTAAGTCCTGTGATAGCTAGACCTTGCATGCGGATGAAGTATCTTGACCTGCTTGCTCTTCAGCCAAGCATGGCTTTTGAAAAGAAAGCGGGGCAACGTGTGAGGCACCGATGTGAAGACAGAAGAGTATTTGGGGATGGACTTGTCCGTGGGAAGGACACCGTTCTCTGTGCCACCTTCCAGGAGCCGCCCTGGGAAGAGCAGCCTGGCAGAGCTGCAGGAGGGTAGCTGGAGCGTGTGGCTTGGCCACAAGAGGCCGTGTGAGCTGGCATTTTGCAGGGAGCGACTGAATTCACCTGTAGCTGGTTCGGAGCCTGTGCCCCCGGAGTTGGGGGGGGTGCTATCCGGCAAAAGCTACTGCAGAGCAATGAAGGAGAGGAGAAACAGCTGCAGACCTTCCAGGGCTGCTAGCAGCAGCTGGCTGCAGCTGATTAGAGTTTCCTTTCTCCCATCTTCCCCCAGGTTTGTGTGTCCTCAGAGAAGGCTGTACTGGTCTGTGGAACTGGTGAGTAACACAAGGGAAGGGGAGGGATAGGATAGAACATAATATGGTACAGTGCTCCACCCAGAGCAGTTGTACTTAGACCCTCCCCAAAAGGAGATGTGAAAAGAGCTTGCTAATATTTACTGCCTCGGCTGCAGAGATGGAAAGCATTCGCCTGTGTGATAACATTTACTTCTTACTTGGTAGAGATCTGAGGCGCTGCTATGACACAAACAGGTAAAGCAGGGAAACGAGCCCTGTGGTCTGCCCAGTCCGTGCAATGAAGCTAGTGAAACTGGGAGCAGAAGTGTCGGTTTCTAGCTTAAAGCCTAAGGATGTTGTAAAAATACAGGGTTGCAACCATGGACCTTTCCCTTAAGTCTAGGAAAAGGCTAAAAGGCGTTAGTTTTGCCTTGGGCCATTCAGTTGCTGAATCCCAATCCCATCGTTTTGTATGCTGTGTATGCTGGGTGAAAGCGTCGTAGCCCCTGAGCTCTGTCTCTCTACTCCCCCTTAACCAGGGGAGAGGGATCTTGATCAGACTGATAGAGCCAATTTGTGGCAAACAAAATCTAAGACTGCCAATTCCTGATGCCCTACGGTTTAACCAGAAGGTCGTGCCTGTCTCCTAAAGCCGTCTCATTTTTCGGTCCCCCTCTATCTTCGGAAGGTGAAACAGGAGTTAGAAGAGAGCCTGCTGACATGTGCAGAAGGTCAAAGTAGCCAGCATCTCTATCTGCATCATGAACAGAACTGAGAATGTAGAGAGGCGACAAGCTGGAGGTGTCTTGGCTCAGGACGTCTGGATTCTTCAAAGCCAGCTCTTTTCAGGTGAGTGTTACCGGCACGGAAGCCAATTGATGGCATAGTTTTGCTGAAAACCGGTCTCACCTACTCCCACACACCTCCTAACCACAAGAACTCCAGGGAAGCTTTGTAAGGATGCGGCTTGGGCTCGGGGGGGGCAAGCGCAGCTCTCTTGTCTTGCTGATTCCCATCTTCTGGCATTCTGGATTAAGACTTGTTTGCAAATCAAGAGAAAAGACATTTCAGATTCGAGACATAACTGCCAGCGTGCTCAATTGCTCCTCAGGGTGTCTGACTTCTGCATGTGCGTTTCCGCATGTGTGCGTGAGGTGTACGTAGATGTTTTCAGCCAGGCTTATGGCTTCATGTGTGTGCGTGAATGTATTGTGCGAGGTCTTCTCAGCGAGCCAGAGAAACTAGATTTGCTCCTGTTTCTGAAAGATGTTGGATCCGAGCTCACCCTCTTCCCTAAAGATAGGGGAGCTCTATAACTTGGCTTCCAACTCAGAGCTGTTATTCAAGTTGGGCTCGAATGGCTCTTGTATTCCACAGCCCCTGAAAGCTTTGAATGTGTACAGAGTGACGTCCGCTCGTCCGCGGTGATAGGAGGGTATCATCTCTTGTCTTGCCTTTGCCCAGCTGATGGTGTTTGTTATAGAAGCAAGCTCAGTGGGCCCGGGGGGACTCTAACCTTGTGAATACTGGTCACGCCAATATATATATATATATATTTATGTGGTAGAACAGAGATTAATTCCCAATTAAGTAATTGGTACTTTTCCCCATCTTCCTGGTAGGGGGTGCACGGTAGGCGCCTGGCTTGTCCTTGCACAGTGCCACTCCTGCTGTGTTGGCATTGCTTCAATTCCCTGTGCTGCAGCGAATGGCTGATGCTGTGACTATAATATAGACAGAGCTCCCAGGATTTGCGTGGGCTGGGGTTAAAATCAGTCCTTTCTGTTAAAGAGAGGCAGTGGGGAAAGTACGGGTGGGCTGGGGGAGAGGGAACGCAAGGCAGAGAGGAGGCTGTGGACTGGTGAGAGTGAGTTGCTCCATCGGCACCGGACCAGGGGCCGTGTCAGGGTGCCTGGTTAATCCTGCGGATAGCTGGCTATGGCTCCGTTGGTACTGTAGGTAGATGCTGCTGCTGTCATAGGTGTTCGTAGCCTCCTCGGAATGTGAGGATGCAACAGATGTGCTTGATGAGTATCGCAGCCTTTTTTATTAGCCGGATTCTATTCTCTCTGAACAGATACGCTATTTTTCTGATGGGGGAAAGGTGGCTTCTTACCCCCCACATCCTCAAATTCTGTGAAGTTGCAGTAAAAGAGCTGAACTCAGGTCTCTGCCCCTCCTCCCTGATTTTTAAAACCACTTCAAAGGTGAGTTGGCGGACGATTGAAGCGACCGGTTCTGCCGGGCGTGCTGCCACTCACCTTCCGTGCCGCTCCCCCGTGGAACAAAGCACGGCACTTCCCTTTGATTTCCCCCTTTGAAAGCCATAGGGGACAGAGTCTGAAACGCTCCGCAACTTTTTTGGCGACTCTGCTCCGGTGCCTTCCTGAAGTGCCGGGTGGATCAGGACAGGGCTCCAGGGAGGAGACCTCACTCGCGGCTAAATTAGCTGTCAGCGCAGGCTGGCTGAC